GCGGCACTCGCTTACGCCGCAGTGTACCCGAGGCTGAGCTTGCAGCCGATCGCGCCGGAGACGAGGTTGAACCCGAGGCCGATGGTACTGGCACGCAAATGATCGAGGCCGACGGGGTTGGCGCGTGTTTCGTGGGGGTTGGCTGTGCTGCTGACTGCATGACTGGCTGTGGCGTGCTCTCGTCCTCTGCCATCGTGGTTTGCGCCGGGCCACGCGCGTCTTGCTGTAAAGGCGCCTCGCCATCAGCATCAGAGACCATGGGTGAAGCTGGCACCGACATGGATGCTGTATCTGCCTCATCAATCCAAGCAGCACTCGTCTGTATCCGTGGCACAGCAGCATCCGTCGTTGGCCCTCCATTTGTCGCCACCACAGCCGTGTCCTGGGCACGTGGAGTGCTTCTGCTCGACTGCGCCGCAACGGCACCTGGTCCTGGTGATGCTGCCGTGTCAACGTTCGATGCTGAAGTTACATCCAAAGCGGACTCTGGCCCGATCGATTCTTCTTCCTCGAGCTGTGCTGCAGGTGGCTCGGACAACACATCTTCCTCCTCCGCCATCGCCTCGGGCTCTGCTTCCACATGCCCCACACTCAACGCTTGGGCAGCGCGCTGCTGGCGCGCAGCTATTGCTGGCTCCAGGCGCTGTGCGTTCCTGCGCACACGTCACAAAACGGCTGGCCGGCAGCAAAGCATGTCGCGGCGCGGGGATCTAGCAACTTGCCGAGCGCCCAGCTGCGGCACGCATTGCCCTCGACAAACTTTTCCATGCCCGGTGCTGGCCCACGTCTCACTGGTAGCCACAGCTCGGCAGTTCCACCCTGTTTATCGCGACCAGCCCGACCAAATGCCTAGCCCAAGCACATGTACACCATCAGCAAAACCAACAATTGATTTTTTTTTTGTTTTCAACTCCATACAGTCACACGACTGTTTGAGCAACAACGTACCTGGGCCAGCGTATAGACGTTGTAGCCGTTGCCATACCACAGCACGTGGCGAATGGTGAGCAGATCCACGCCCGTGCTGAGACAGCTGGTGGCCACAATGACGTCGCATTCACCCCGTTGCCACTGTGCCACATGGTCCTTTTGCGCCTTCTCCTCCAGGTCGGTGTAGTAGGGCAAGGCCATGTAGCCGTATGCGTGCAGCTGGTCACACAGCAGCTTCACCTCGTTCACGGTGTCACAAAAGACCATCATGTGCACACGCTTCCCATTCGCCTGACGCATCACCCGCTGCGTGTCCACAATGGCTTGCACATGCGACAAAAAGTTTAGCTGGTTTCCGTGAAGCACACGCAGCTGCAGATCGCGACGCATCGTCTCCAGACGGTACACCTTGCCCCCGACTTGCTGACCCAGCTTTCGAAACAGATGCTCCTGGTCCCCGATGCAAAGTGTGCCCGTCAACGCCACGCGTTTGATGTTGGTCCATCCGCCAGAACCCACACTGGCTGCGACTTCGTCCATCACATCTCGGTAGCTGGCATCCGAGATGAGCGTGTGCGCCTCGTCCATCACCACGGTGCGGATGCGCTGAAAGCAGACCTTTCCGTGTAGCGATTCGGATCCCACGCGGACAAACATGTCGGTCGTGACGATGAGCACGTCCAGGCCATCTGCCACCTGTGTAGAGGGACCAAGCCATCGCTGGGCACTGTGACCTGCGCCTTGAAATCGCCGCAATAAATCGTTGCC